TGTGTGTGTGTGTGTGTGTGTGTGTGTGTGTGTGTGTGTGTGTGTGTGTGTGTGTAAGAGTGAGTCACTGAGAATCTGTTACTGAGACTGGCCATGCTGCTTTGTTAGACACTGTGACTCTGTGCCAAGAGGGAGCAGTTTCAATTTCCTCACAGTGTTAGCTGTAGCAACACCATAGCGTATGGTAGTCTTGCTTTATAAACTTGTTTGTTTGCCCTTTTTCTAAAATACTCACCTACTCACAGCTACTACACCAGCAATGCATGTAGTGTGGGGTAAAAACACAAAAGCTCCTTCTCCTAAAAGGAATGCAGTAAATTTAAGGAAACCTGGCAGGCGTTTGAAGCTTTTTTGTGTGTGTCTCACAAAGCCTATTTTAACCTTCACCCAAGCTAGTGCTGCTCAGCGATTAGGCTTTGTAGCTGGCAGACTGTTTTCTGTGTTGTGTGGCATAATCCATATTCACCCTCTGCCAGATAAAAAGACTAAAACACTGCCAAGGGAGCAGGCGGCAGTCATGCCCTTCCGCTCTTGCTTTTATAACCTTCCTTGTGTCAGTCTCTCCTGGTTTCTTTCTCTTTCTGATCTGATTAGTTAGTATTAATCTTCTGCATGAATCCACTGAGACTTAATGATAGGTATTAGCAGTATATTAGCTCACTCAATAATGCTCCGTTTTCTCCCTCTAAATGACACATTAGCCTTAAAGCATTTGCAGTAGGATCCTTAGGATGAATGAAATGTTTCAGCCATGCATTTCGCATATAGAATATAAAATGTATATGCTTAAGTGGTTAGTGCACTAAGACACACTTGGCCAACACATTTTAATCTCTTACCCACAACTGCACTTCAATGTCTAAATAAGTGGAAAATAAAACAGAGTAAATCTCTACAAATAAAAACAAAGCTGTGCCTCTTAGCCAACATCTGGTGAAGAGGAGGTGCCCAGACAGTCTGGTCTCTGTTTGTGATCTGTTTCCTCCTGTTCTCTGTGATCACAAAGGGTTCAAAGAAATTGTTTGGCATTTTGGGAAATAAGCTTTTCTTTTCTTGTTTTTGCAGAGAGCTGCATGAGAAGATCAGTCAAGCACCCAGTGTTGAAAAAGTACTGCACAAACCTCTTTTATGCTTACTTTTCCTCATTTGTTCTTTTCCTTTCAAAATGTTAACACAAGTTACTCTATATATTGCTTTTGATTGTAAATATTAAAGGTAGAGGCTGTTCACCAGAACACAAAACATGCATACAGCACAAGTATGAAAAATGACAAATTCTGAGCTAAGTCTTAATCCCATAAGCCCGTGATTAGCCACCCTTGATTCCATTAAAATTGTCATCTTTTGTACAACCGAGCATTTCTCAAGTGTGCCAGAAGAGGTTTATTTTGAAACTTTCAGAATTATGACTGAAAGACTAACATTCTTGGGTTTATAAGAAAAACACCAGATTAGTGAGATTAGAGAACAACAATGAGAGAAAATTGGACACTAGCTAAGTGACTACTCAGCATCTGTGTTCAAACAGGAAGATGTTGTTTCTGTGTTCCTAATTGTTCATTTGTCACAGTGGAACGCGGAATGACATTGATTGTTCACAGATGCAGGTTGGTGAGTGGGGGGTTGGCTTGAGAATGAAACTAAGGGGGAAAAAAGAAGACGTGTGGGCTGAATACAAATGAGATCTGGCACTAAATGAAGCTGATGTTACACCTACGGTGCACAGCTGACCTCTTGTTTCTCACATTAGTCTGGCAAACACACACTCAGGACGCCAGCCCAACCTCTCCTCTCTCTGCTCATAACCTGCTGCCATCCCTCTGCGGCATTGCCCCCCTCTTCTCTGATCATGCTCATTCATCTTCTGGCTCCCGTTGGCATCCTCCTCCACCTCCTCCTCCTCCTCCAGCAAGGCTAAGCTAATTGGCTGTGAGCTGTGCTGGAGAAGCAAAATTCATATTTATATTAAAATTTGTAAAATATGCAAAGTAAGTCAGATTTCCAGCAGGGTTCACTTAGGCTTCTTTTAACTTTAATAGACTGGAAAGGATCTTGCATATAGTTGGAATCACAAGCTCTAGACAGGTGAAGAGTATATGACAACGAGCTGTGCTGCTAACAGCAACTCCATGAGGCTCATGTGGCTTCAGTGTGGATCTAAGCACTGTTTGATGGTGCTTAGGTGGATGTGTGCGCACACGTGTGTGAAGCCAGGGTGGCTTATCTGTTCAGCCTGTCAATTTTCCAGCCGTCATCCCTCTCGCTGCAGCTGCTGCTCCTTTGATTGGTTGTTGGGAGGTACAATGCAGTGACACTCTGGAGCACAATGAATGGCTAATTACATGAATTAATGGCAGGCAAACAAAAATAAATGTCTCTTTAGAGTAGACTTGTCACTAATTTATTCTCTTTGTGTCTCTTTGTCGGAAATATTTATGCTCAAAATGACCACGGTAGTTAAGAAGAAGAAAAAAACAGACTAATTTGTGATGATGGGCATGGAAAGCTTTGGCTTATGCTGTGTGTGTGTGCTTTTGCTTGCATGCACATCCTGTCATCCTTTATTACTTCAAACAGAATTTAAAAGGCTTGCCATTATATTGACTTGCTCAAAAAGAAAAAAAATTAAGGATGTGCTGCATTCATGGTGCATAGACTCTGTGGGGCCTTTGTGGGCCAAGAAAGGAGTCAGTGAGAAAATGGAAGCACTGTCTGTCTGATTCACATTCATCATTTGACTCTGGTTTGTCAACTTATGTTATTTTATGGGCCCAGGTTTTGACATATTAGTCTCATACATTTGTTTGGTGTCCAAAGCATTAAACAAAATCCATTTTAAAGATCTACTCAGTGGATAAACAGTGAACCAAATGATTGTGTGAATCTTATGAAATAGTAAACCCACATATACCCAAATCTGTTTTCCCCCTTTGGCCCTCCACAGCATTTTTAGTGTCTTTCAGCTCATTTCTGCTCTATCCATGGAAGGATCCATCAAACATTTTGATGTTGGATGATATGCAATATTTTGTTGTTTGAACAAATATTGAAGACACCCCATTATTATGGTTGAATGTGGTGGCAGTGTCTGCTTGATGTCCTCTGTGTACATTAGTTGTGGACATGAGAGTGATGCATCCTTTTATCACTGACAAAACAAACAAGAACATTAGTTGTACTAGTCTGTGTACCTGATGTCTCAGCTAACTGTCAATCAAAAGTTGGTGTAATAACAAACAAAGACGCGTGCGCTTACAATATTATAAATATTTCTCAGGTCAGTAAAAGAGGGACTGACAGTCTGACAGTTTCACAATGTTGCTGTTTTACTAGTGTTTGCTGGGATGTTGTTTATGAAGCTGATGAACCCAGTGTATCTACCTAGCACCACAAACAAATCAATTCATACAGCTTGGACATATTTTTTGGGGAGTTTTGCTTCTGTACAACCACCACACTGGATTTTAAGTCAAATCATCAAGATGTGTTCAAAGTGCAGACTTTTAGTTGTAAATTTAGGGGTTTAACAAAAGTATTGTTTAGTAGTTTTAGCCATTGTTATGCATATATACATCATTTTTACTTTTGAACCTCTGACAGTGGTGGACTATGAGTGAAAATGGCTGTAACTCTTTTTGTTAAACCCCTTAAATTAAAAAAGAAGGCCTGAAATTTATCATATCTTTAATTAAAATTCCAGTTTTGGTGTATAGAGGCAAACTTCCCAAGACTTTTGCAGTCTTTTAATAAATGACCTGAAATAGGTAAATACTTTAATTGACAGCATACACAATACAGCAGACCCAAATGTACATCTGTAGCATGAAACCCAGATTTCCTTCATGTATTCCTTTACATCCTTTCAGGATGATAACTGGGGAGAAACCACCACCGCTGTCACAGGAACGTCAGAGCTCAGTGTTTCCCAGGAGGAGGTGGTGGGCCTGGGGAAAGGAATACAAGACCGGACCCAAGGCTTTCGCCGTTACCTTCCCTTGGCTGTGGGCTCATGCGTGGGGCTGCTGGTGCTCGCCACGCCCTTGGTGTTCCTGCTTCTACCAGCAGTAATGTGGCCCGACAGACTGCAGGTCTGTGGTGCAGCCTGCGAGGGGCTCTTCCTCTCCATTTCCTTCAAGCTCCTCATCCTCCTGGTAGCTGTTTGGGCCTTGTTTCTGCGACCCAACCGGGCCTGCCTGCCAAGAGTGTGTGTGTATCGTGCCTTCCTCATCACACTCACACTCCTGCTCACTATGTCTTATTGGCTCTTCTATGGGGTCCGGATCCTTGATGCTCAGGTGGGTTTGAGATGTATTTAATTTATTTATGTATTTATTTATGTATTTTCTTAATTTTGCACATTAAGCAGTGAACTTTTTTTTCATCAGTCAATCTTTTTAGATCATTTAACAAATAGTTAACATGCAAATACACAATTTTTTTCCGAGTTTATTTCCTTTATTGCTTTAATGGTGTTAAATGGCTCTTAGATAAAGGTTGATTGATTCGGTTTTTGGGACATATTGTTTTTGTTTTTTATGGTATGTTGTTTGCATGTAGCCGAGTATTAGTTCAATCTAATTCATTTAGTCTTAAATAAAGCTGTAATTTGTTTTGTTTTTTTAAGCTTTTATCTAATGAGAATGAAAGTTTCATTAAGCCCATGGTGTGGTCCAAGCAGGATGAGGATTACCACGGCATCGTCCAGTTTGCTGTGTCCCTCGTGGACTCCCAGCTGTTTGTTCACTACCTGGCAGTCGTACTTCTGGAACTCCGCCAACTCCAGCCCTGCTACAGCGTGTGTGTCATCCGCTCCACAGATGGAGAGACTCGTCACTACAACATAGGACAGCTCAGGTGAGCACGCTGCAGTTGCACCATATTAGCTTTGTGTGTCTTTCCTAAAGCAAACACAAGGCTGACCGACATAGATAAGTTTCACACTTTCGCATGCGGATATAACCTTTCTGTACTGTGCACAGTAAGTACACAACGGTGCTCAGCCACACTCTCCTTGTTGATGTATTTGTGTAATTGGAAGCTTATGGCCACAGGGAAGACAGGCACAGGCAGTAATTGAGTTACTCTACGGTGACCTCGGCTAGTGTGCTATTCTAGGAGTTCGGAAAGGAGAGATGAGAAAAAGCGACTCGTCATATGACTGTCTTTGTTTCTTCTTTGGACAAGTTTATTACTATGACAAGACTAGGAGACATTAGTATTTATGCTTGTGTAATGAGGCTAACAGTTTAATGGGTTAATAATGGGCGTTCTTCCAATTCCTAATTTGTGGAATGGTAAACAAGAGGTTAAGACCTGCGGAGGAGAAAGAAAAGGATTCATACTGCATTAACTGTTTCCAGTAATTTAAATGGCTTACTTGGTTGTGGTGGCTTACATGGTGACACTGTAAATGGCTTCATGTCAGGTCAGTTGAGTCTTCATTGGTTGAAGAGGACAAATATGGAAATTGAATTGTCGATGAATCAATTCTCAGCAGCTCACGTGGTACAGTGCTGCAGCTTGTATAAAGGCTGAGTCCCTCTTAACTCTTTACCCCCCACTTGGATGCCTACTAGCAGTAAGCCTTTTTTTCTCTTTGCTGAACTGAGTGAACTGAGAGCTACTGAAACCTGTTCTGACAGTCGTCGAACCACGTCTTTTTTTTACATATATTGAGGTGTCTTTAACTTTACAAGAGAGGTCGCTAAATGTCTTTATGGGGGGAAAGAATTAAAATCTTTCTCTGTCAAATAAAGTCAAAATAAAATCTTTAAAATAAGAAGCCAGGGATGAGGGATTATAAAGTAGTGAGCTCACCAGACCTCAGTAGCCTGCTCATCTTTTGTCAGATGCTTGCACTGAGGCATAAAACAACAGATTCTCCCACTGAACTGTCGGCGATTGAGGTGCATCGTTGGTAATGTAGATGCAAAAGTTTGGCCATTAAGAGGATTTTATTAAATAAAATAGATCACATCTGTGCTAATGTTTGTTCTCAAATTGTTTAATTGAATTTCTAAATGACGGCATTATCTTGTAATTCAATCACTGTTTAGTGGGCTGTTCGTTCACCAGATTCAAGGGGATTTTATACTGTCTTGTACTGCTTTTAAGTTTTCTCTTTTCTCTCTTGCCTCACACAGCATTCAAAGGGCCGCTCTGTCCATTTTGGAGTATTACTACAGAGATTTTCCACTCCATAACCCGGCCCTTCTCTCTGCTTCCAAACACCGAGCTGCCAAACACCTGGCTGGGTTAAAGGTCTACAATGTAGACGGTTAGTTGCCTCATATGTCCCAATTATTTATTTTTTTCCTGTACTACACTTCTCAAATAAATTAATGGAACACTCTGGAAATACATCAGATCTCAATGGGGGGGGAAAGCTATACTGACATGGACTGGGTAATGTGTTAGGAAATAAAAGATAACACATCGTTTGATGAAAATGAAAATGCTCAACCTACAGAAGGCTGAATTCTATGTCACCCCAGAATAAAAGTTTCAAAGAAAAGCATGCTGCAGGCATGTTTGTTTGTCCCCTGCATGCCTGATAACACTGGGGCATGTTCCTAATGAGAGGAAAGAGATGATGTCCTGGGGATTTCCTCCCAGATCTGGACCATAGCATCACTGAGCTCTTGGACAGTGAGGTGCAACCTGGTGATGTTTGATGGACTGAAATATGATGTCACAGAGGTGCTCTATTGTGTCCTTTAGGTCAGGGTAGCATGGGGGCCAGTCAACGGTATAAATTTCTTCATTGTCCAGGAAATGCCCGCATACTCTTGGCACATGGGGCTTGACATTGTAGTGCTCCAGGAGGAATCCAGCAACCACTGCACCAGCACAGGGTTTGACAGTGGGTCCGAGGATTTCACTGGTAGCAGTCATGGCCCATTGCCTAGCCTGTAAGATACGTTTTTTATGTTGGAGAGCTTATTGAACCATCAAATAATAATTACATTTTAATTTCCATATATGAATTTTCATTTGTATCATATTTGCTACATCTGGCTGTTTTTTAAAATTGCTTAAAAATATATTGGGTTTTTCACGTAGAAACATTGGGTCCTCAGGATACCCTTCTTCTGAAGTCTGTTTCTGATTGGTCAGACACATTGTTTGGACATTTTCACACCATACCCTGCTGGAGATCATTTTGCAGCTCTGGCAGTGTTCATCCTGTTCCTTCTTAAAAAGAGGAGAAGAAATTAACAACAGGTGCACCTGTTATTAATTTCATTAACACCAAAGCAGCTCAAACTGATTAACAACCCGCTAATCAACTAGACTTGATGCTACACTCGCATAAAAAGTGTTCCTTTAATTTATTTGTGCACCGCATGTAATATTTCTGCTGATGTCCCTTTGTTTATACCGTTACTTTCCCTTGTTTTAACTGTCTTCTCCTTGTTCTGCTTGCTGTGATACTCTGGTTTCAATGAGCAGCTTTGAAAAACAAACTGAGAACATACCGTTTTGACAGTAAATACAGATAAAAGCCCTCACCATCACAGGGAGACACTAATTTCACGCTTCAGTCGTGAAGCGTCACTCTGAAGCCTCCCTCTCTGACATAATGCATATATTGAATTTGCCGGGGGAAAAAGCACTCTTCTAAATGCTACAATTTTCTTGATATATTACTTTCTTGCACACATCCTGTAATGCCACATATCACACTCTTTCCTGGAGTTAAAAGGGTCTTCCACTCAACACCTATTAATCTCCCACTGGCTGCGCAGCGCTGGATTTGTTGATGTATAAAGCAGGGAAGCAATGTTGGATACCGTGTCCTCACAGTGCTTTTCATCCACCCCACCCCCTCTCCTATCAAAGTGCAATGGAAGGGTCTCTAGGCGGCCGTGGAATTCCAAGCCTTAAATAATTCATCAGTGTAACGCTCATTTCTCAAATACTCCCACATCTCTCCTTCCTCCTGCTCACACTGTCTCCAGCTCCAGCTCGTTCTTTCCCCTTTCTTTCCCGTCGTCAACTCCCACACATCTCCCTCACGCTATACCAGTCAGTCACTCTTCTCATTGTACAAACAGTACAGATATGTAGGGCAGGATGTATAAGGATGTTTACTCTTATTTTCATTGGAAAGTGTCTACAGTGCTTCTTCTGCAAATGATCTGACTGCATTTGCTCCACAGTACTCGCACTGGGAGGATTTTTCATCCATATTTCATCACTAAATTCAGTTTCTCTTTCTCACCTGCACGCACAAGCGTAAACACACGCCCATGCAGATCAGATTAATAATTTATATCCTTGTCTGACCTGCAGCATTTACCATCTATAACCACCCCCAGATTTAGTGATCTTCATGAATATGGACCAGATCTTACTCCGCCTCAGTGACACCACAGGATCTCTAATATACTGCTATATAAGCCCCATTAGTTTTATGGGTTTGCCACACAAACCAGTAAATTCACACATGGTCTTTGATGTGTAAAATAATGAATATTTAATCCAGACCCCCAATAAAAAGGTTTCTGCATCACAGAGTGTGTGTAGAAATGTGGATGCTTCCAGTGGAAATTGCCTCTTTTCTCAGTGCTAAAATTAAGAATGTTTTGTGATTCAGACTGGCGACACTACCCAGATAACTATCAAACCTTTCTCACAGTTAAGTGGAGGATAAAATGGGAATAATACTGGCTGGGAAGGTTGATTTACAGCTGTTTTACACCACTAATAATAAGATCTGAATTTGTCCTTCAATATGAGTTTTCCCTCAATCATTCAGATTGAGATACTGTCCATTAATCACTGGTGGGGGACTGGCCCGTTAAAGACTGCCCTCCCAGGTCAGGCTGATTTAACCAATTTACTACTGTCCTTTCTTTCTGATACAGCCCCAGGGAATGCAGCAGGGGCTCAGCCAAGTAATGGAAATCAGTCACGGGCTATGGTTACAGCTGCCGGCAAACGTAAAGACAGCGCCCACAATGAGCTGTACTACGAGGAAGCCGACTATGAAAGAAGAGTCCGTAAACGTAGAGCCAGGTGAGTCATGGGAGCAAAGTGTCACACTGTTACAGTGGCTTAATAATTCTGCATTAAATCTGTACCACAGTTATTCTGTAACTTACGCTGTAGCCACATATCCACATCCCTAGAAATGCAACCACAGCACATGTTAATGCCAGCCCATTACAAACTTTAATGGCCCGTTTACCTCTATGTGTTTCTGGCTACTTCTTCTTGGGAAGAAAATAAATCAACTTGAAGAGAAAAACCCTACCGCCAACTCCTGTTTTGGAAGCGACAGAGGCACAACAGGACTGTTATAAATCTAGTGTTAGCCACTTGCACATGGTTTGTCGTAGGTTCCACATAGATTCTGCACAGAAGTAGAAATCAAACTTGGGAAGCTGCACATACTGGGATGGCTGGTGCATGCACATGTGTAGTTAAAAAAAACTGTCAAGAGGACTAGGCTTGTGAGAAAGCACTTAGCTATGCACGTTATTATGTAAACTTCATGACTAAAAAACTGCATGGAAAGTCCTCCACAGTACGTTTAAATACCTTTACTTTAACAGATATATACGTCTGCAGTTTCGTTTAATCTGTCTTAACATTAGGGTGCTGCTCAATGATCAGTAAAAACAACTGTATATAGCCAAATACAATGTGGTATTTCTCTGTCAGGCTGGTAGTTGCTGTTGAGGAGGCCTTCACACATGTCCGCCGCATGAAGAAAGAAGATGAGCGTGCAACACCGTCTGACATCATGGATGTGCGAGAGGCAGCTCTGGCTATATTTCCTTCTATGGCTCGGGCCCTGCAGAAGTACCTCCGCACCACCAGGAGGCAACACTGCCACAGCATGGAGAGCATCCAGAAGCATCTTGCTTTCTGCCTGGTCAATAACATGAGTCCTAAGGTCAGATTTGTTGTCAATAGCTTTGCACTAAGGCGGTGTTTACCAAGAGGTGTAACTTATGACAAAAGGATAGCAGAAAGAGTGAAAGGGAAGGTTTACAAGATGTTAATGAGATCTGCTGTGATGAATGAGGTGGAGATGGTGGCACTAACAAACAGGAGTTGGAGCTAGAAGCAAGAGATCAAGAGGTTTGAAGACAAAAACTTGTGCAGAGGAGGGATAGTGGATACTGGACAAAGATGATGTTGAAGATTGAGCTATCATGAGGAAAACAGGAAGTTCACAGAGAAGATTTATGGATGTATTGAAGGAGGAAATGCAGAGGAGAATGCAAAGGATGGGGTGATATGGGTATGGGTGATATGAGTTGGAAGAAAGGCTGTAATGGCATTTATTTTTATGTCTAACAAGCTGTGACTCAAACTGAGTAAATAACATCAGCTATCAGACAGAAAGTAAATGGAAGCATTACTTAATCGTGTCACATCAGTGAAAAGAGGTTTTATTAGTTTTGTATGCATTCTTTGCTAAATCCCCCTTGTGCGTCCATTTAATTTCAGTTTTATTGATTAATTAATTTATTATCATATGATGAAACTAAAAGAGGGGCAAGCTGTCATTCAAGAAGGGCCATGAGGTCAACTTTTATTGGTTCACTGACATTAGAAATGGTTTCATCGGTCAGGAGATTAATAAATTGAGTTAATCTTGCCATATAGATGTTATCCCAAGTTTTGTCTTTACACATCAATTTTGTTTTGTTTTTCATTGTGGGTACTTTGATATAATCAGCTGCTTCTCTGTGTGCGTAGGCCTTCCTTGAGGCTTATCTCATGCCTGGTCCAACCCTGCAGTACGGCCCCGAGCGCTGGATGGCTGATCAGTGGACCTTAGTGAGCGAAGCGTCTGTGACCAGCGGCATTAAACAGGGGACAGAGTTCCTTCTGAAGTGTCTCGACTTTAGCTTAGCCATCACCATCAAGAGCATCCCTTATATCCGACTGACCGAAGAGTACATCGATCCCAAGTCGCACAAGTTTTTACTGTTGCTCCAATCAGAAACTTCAGTTTAACAGTGGCAGAGTGGACGAGCGCTGCTGCTCTGGACTTGCAGAACTGTTGCAGTTATCCAACTGAATTTTTTCAAGAAATATCTTTTTGTACTGTTTTTTGTACCTATGTTTATGTAGTTTTCTCACATATAGAGTATTTATGTCTTTGTCTTTGTCCCAGGAGTCTTGAAAGATGATAAAAGACACAAAATGAGGAGAAATGCACTGAAATGTCCTCTGTCGTGACATTTGCAGAACACAGTTCAGTTATGTCTCTATGCACTACAGATGACCCTCACAAACGTTTAGCTTCCTTTACGTGCATGTGCCGGTGCGTGCCTGCATAGGAGCGTTTGAGATTTTAAGAATGCAAATGTGTGCGTTAGTGTGGTTTTTATCGTAGTGTACACTGGGGTCTGTCTCTCTCCAAGACATTTAATATAAACTGAACCTCTCTTTTTTCAGTCTAAGCAGTTATTATTTGATTGTCTTGTATTGGAAATGTATGTACAGTATTTATACGTGAATAATACTTTATCCCTACAGACTTTTTATACCAAAATCATGTATCACTTGAATGATTTTTTTTTATCATTTCAAACATTTTTTTTTACCCTGTCTGTCTGCGCTGTACTTGTTACGATAATTGGACTGTAGATAGACGTGTTTGTAGTTGTCAGATCATTCAAAGAAGTCTCATGTACTAAAAAAAGCAGAGGAAGAAGACTGAAAAATCATAAATAAATTGATTTGTTAAACATAGTAATTAATATTAAAAAAACATTAAAATAGGCCTTCATTTATAAAAAGGTGTCATAAATTTGAATTTCTGTACTTAGCTGATGAGAGACAGCTAGGTTTGTTGTGTCCTGGCAATCGGATGGGCCATGTATTTGCACAGTGAAGCAGAAATTATAAAAAGAATTAAAGCAGATAAATATAGAAACCTGACTGTCCTACTGTGGGAGCGATGGAGCCTGTCCCAGCTCCAATACCTAAATAAAGAAACTAATATCCATTAAAAAAATGTTTTACCACTTATCCAATCCAGAGTTGTGCGGATGGCTACACCTGAATACTGTTAGGATATTTCATGTTTCATCTTTCCCTCTTTCTTTCTCTCTTTTCATTTCCCCAGTCAAGTCTGTCCCGTGTTCAGCAAATGAAAATAAAATAAACAATAAAAGCAAAGGTGAATCAAATAGACCAATACGGCAAGGCTGGGATGGTCCAGTTGGTAAAGTAAAATTTTACCCACTGCTGTATTATTTCAGAACATATGGCCCTGATTTTCATCTCGATTTGTGTTTTTTATTATGGCTCCATGTAATGTAAATCTTGTTGGCCAGTGTCCTATAATCAGCCACAAGCTTAATGCAACACACAACCTAAAGGATTACCTAAAATCAGATTTCTGAAGAATTTAAAAAAAAATTAAGTACTTTATGTACAAAATGAATCGCTCACTCCAAAATTCATATTGCATTATTTCATGCTGCAAGCATTCAAGAATTAAAAAAACAAACAAAAAAAACAATAGTAATAACTTACTGTGAACAACTCAACTCAGTATCAGTATTCGTGCTGCCAGTATTGGACATCAGGGTGTCTCACTACTGCCACCTGCCTACAACTACTGGAACACTGTTCTAGGCATCAACTGTTAATGAGTGAGGATATTTGATGTGTATTTTTTAAACTTTTTCTACTTATAAGGCTTGATGTGTTGTAAGTTTATATTTACAAGAGTGTTACTGTGCTTACAGAGGGTGTAGTTTTGTTTCGGACTCTTTAGGGGTGTTGGTGGTTGTAAATACCTTCTCTTGTACGACTACACACGTGCCTGGTTTGACATATTTAGGATGTGCTCAGCATACATGTGCGGTTTTTCAAGTTTGTGTGTTTCAGCATATGTGTGTGAGAAAGAAACTGAGTAAAACAGAAAAGAAGAAAACACAGAGATCGCTTTCCCAAATGTCCAAATGTGATGCAGCTGACAGGTCGTGAGTTGCCCCCGTCTCCTTTTATACAGCATAACATTGAACATTAATGCAGCGGTGTCAAAGTCACATTTGTACAAAAAATAAAATAAAATAAAAATGAAGAAATAAATATTTGTACTGATGTTTTCAGGGAATTTGATTGTTGTTCTACTTCCATGTTGTGATGATTAATAAGTGTAGTGGAGAAGTTTTTAAAGATTTAACTACATTTACGGTTACTTAGTTATGGCTGCTACTAGAAGGACATTTGTGGCTCCTTTATGTGGCATCTAAGGCTTACAGTTACTTTGATCTCATATTATATTAATTATGCAGCAAGATGTGTATATTCTTCTAGGAGACGTTTGGCTATAAAAACTTTATTATTAGTTATGATCAGTTATCTGCCTAATAAATTGCTTTTTTGAGATTTCCAAAATATTTCTTCTTTTATGACAGTTGGTCTAACAAACTTGTTAACCATACATATTTACATACAATAGTAGCACTTATTATATGTAAATAAGCAAATTTCATTTAATTTGCTTTCATGTAAAGTGTATTTTTGGCACAATTAACATAATATGTTTGCAATACCATAATTCCTTACTCATTGCTACACATAACTTTATTTTATGGACATCTATGGTTTGATTTCATTGCATCTGTGGGTTGGATGGATTGTTCTGTACTTATTTTACCTGCTGTATACAGTGGCTTGCAAAAGTATTCAGCCCCCTTGAACTTTTCCACATTTTGTCACATTACAGCCACAAACATGAATCAATTTTATTGGAATTCCA